TAAAGTGCTCCCAAAGGAGAAATATCCAGGCCCAGATGGTTTCACTAGCAAATTTTACCAAGCATTTAATAAGAAACAGTGGCGATTCTCCATAATTTTTCTCAGAATATAAAAAAACAAAGCATAAATATAGAAGCCACACTGTGAATAACTAATAACAGGATTTCTAGATGAAAATGACAACACATCATAACTACTAAAACCATCTCACAATGGCTTAACCCTCATTTGCTTTAAACTGAAGTATATTTTCCTTTCTGAGTCCAAAGCTTTAGTCTATAGAATTCTACTTAGTCTTAGTAGTTATGAATTGTGCTTCAATGAAGCCTTCTTTTCTGCATTTATATGTGTATGCTTGTGTATCTTTATGCATTGTGTGTGCCTATATATATACTTTACATTTGAAAATTGTAAATTTTGTTCTGTGGAAAAGGTTTCCAGTAGTGGCGCTTATGGACCAAAGGGGAAGTGCCTTAAAATTAAATAAATTAGAATGAGTAAATTGTCCTCTAAATATATTATGTTAATTTATACTACCACTAGAAGGGAAAATATTTTTCCCCCAACAATTTAACCAGCACTGAATATTATTAACCATGCCAATCTCTGCTGAACAGATAGCTGATAATCTCATTGTTTCAATTCACAAATATTTTATTAGAGAGGTTGAACATTATATACCATATCAACAAGAATTGGAATAATCTTAAGTAGTATGATACACCTAAAAACAGAGCTTCAACATATACTGATTTTATAACTGCCCCCCTTGATGTTAAACTTGTCATATATATTACATTGCACACTCCATTGTTAAATGCTTGTGAATTGCCTATATTCTTTGCCAAAGTGGGAAGGACTTACTATCTCACTTAATTAATTTTTAAGTATCTTATTAGGATTATTAAATGTTTGTCATGGGTTGAAATTTTTTTTAATTAATTTTTTTTAAATATAAATTTTAAAAAAGTTTATTTTTAGTTTGAACTTTACATAATGACTTTAAAATAAATTATTTTCATAACAATTATCCAAACTTAGATACTTTTTTTACTGTTTTGATCAAATTGACTCATATTCCAACGTCTAAATAAAAATCAACTCCTCTGAACATATTAAGTCTTTCGCACACATAATAAAATGTTCCTTTTTTATGTGCCTTAAGAAATACTAGTACATACATTTGCACTAGTACTTTTCATAAGCAATTTTACACATCCTTGCCTTTATGCTATATTATGGTCCCCTCAAGGCCAAACATCATGATTTGCTCATCTGTATCATAAAAACAAACAAACAAAACATAGCATATAATACATGCTAAAGAAAAGCTTTTGCTATATCAAAATAAAATATTATGTAAATATTGAGTCATATAAGATATAGGGCATAATGGTAGGTGTAAGTCTTTGCAAATTCAAACACACTACCTGCTTTTTTGATGTGCAGAGATGAAGAGTCTTCATGTATACCTGTTGTTGCTACAGTAAGAATTTATAAAAGTGGGTAAGTTAGATAACTATCATTCCAATTCCTAGGGAAACATTTAATTCAGCTAAACAGGGATTCTGTCAAAGCAAAGAGAATAAACAAATGCAAAATTAAGAATTATGTCATTTCCAGCAATCATCTCAGGAGAACGTTTTAGTGTTAACACCATTATCCACCTCTTGAAAACACGATAGACATGCTTAGCCAGCTTGCACATAATGCAATGCTGAGATATAAAGTCATATATCAGACAAAGGAATCAAGAGTCAACAAAGACCTTTCTAGTTGAAGGCAACACATTCTTCAGTGACATTACAATCATTCTGGTGAGGAAGGCACACACATTCTCTACAATCCAAATTCCTTTGTTAATAATCAGAACAACACATTATGATCTTATGTCATGACTAGATGTTACGGTGAAAGGCATATCAAAAATCAATACAAATGGAATAACATTCTCAATGTCAAGATTTCTGTCCTTAATATGACTTGTTGTTTCATGCCTACAGATTCAGATTTCTTGCATAGTAAAAGAATGCTTGGCTGAGATCCCATTTTTTAAATATTATATTCAAGAGGAAAGGAATTTATGTGCAGAGTTTTGTAACTACATAGCTATTCACCTACACACCTTATGCTATACTTTGGTGTCCTCAAGGTTAGAGATCATGATTTGTTCATCTGTATCATAAAAATAGCATATAATAACTGTAACTATATAGCTAGTAACCTACACACAGGAAAGTGAAAAATATGCTAACAAGATAAACTGAGTGGGAGGATGGGTAGAAATTAGAGAGAAAAATAAAAAGAGATATTCTCAAGGAAAAAATATCTGATAAAACAAAGAAGCAGAAATCGCATGGCATGTGAAAAATACTTCAGTATCTAAAAATAAAATAATAGGAACTGTAAATCAAGCATGTCAAACTCAAGGCTAACATGGGCCAAATAAACAAGGTTTAAGTTTATGTGGGCCACGAAAAACAAAAGCTTCGATTTTCATAGAAACGTAGGTTTATTTCGATATAGAGACATGCTGAATACAAAGGGCTGAAATAAATGAATAATTGTTAACATAAAATAGAACATTTTAATAAAAATTAATATTTTTTCTTAAACATTAACTTACCAGACACTGAATAACTGCACAAATTAATACGTGTAATGCAAATAAACCTATTTTTCTTGTTCTTCAAAAGCAAAATATTTCCTGTTGTGCACACCAAACAAGTCAGTCCAAGACTAATGACTTGGTAATCGGTTGCTAAAATATTCTCTGCTAGTATCAGTGGAGAGAAATGGTGCGCCTGCGCGTAAGGCATGTAAGGGAAATGAATGTAACACAATTATAGTAATCAGTCAACGAATGTTGTAGTTCAATATTAATAATTATGTATAACAGGATATTGCAAAAATTAAGTTACGAAATTTTTATTAAAATGTTTCTTACATACCATTATATTGGTGTGGCTGCAAAAATATTCCTTGTGGGCCACATGCAGCCCACAGGTCACGAGTTTGACATGCTTGCTGTAAATGAAAAGGTTTGATTCTCAATGTTAAACTTTATAACTTCTGCTTGCTTTTGTGAATCCAACAGTCAGAACAGAACATCTCTGGTGAGAATAGAAAAAGATAGGTTTGCCCAGGAAGGTGCTACTTATCAATTTAAGAAGCAACATAATTTAGTGAATGTGAGATATTTCTAAATCACTGTCAAATCAGAATTTATACACATTTATATTCAATAATAATACATTTTAAGGCTTTGCATTTTTATCTATTAGTTTCTTTTCAGTACCTCAAGGAAAAGTGAGAAATATATTGATATTGGACTATAAGGAGCCAGTGAAGAATAATATTCTTTCCTTATGAATATAGTAACAAAGAATCAGTATACTTGCAAAGTTACAACTTTCTATTTTCTTATTGTTGACAGTATTAGATTAGTATTACAGATGCCCCCCCAGCACTGTGCCTGTGCCATCCAACTCCCACCCCACCTCAGCCCTCCCCCACCCTTTTGTTTGTGTCCATGGGTTATACACATATGCATATATGTTCTTTAGTTAATCTCTGTCCCAATTCTCTACTTCAGCTTCTCTCAATAATAAAAAATACAATTCATATCAAGAAGTACATTGTGAAAATTTCTGTAAAATCTTATATTAGACAGGAAAGGCAAGGTATACCAAAACATCTACTTGGGTTCTATTATTCATACCATTCCATAAAATAATTTGACCCCATCAAAAAAGTCAAGGCATTTCATAAAGCACTCTATTTAATCAAATCAGCAGATACTCCACCCTCTTTTTCTTTTCTTTCTGTTTTTCTAGAAGTCTTTTTTGTTGTTGTTGCTTTTGCTTGTTTTGTTTATAATTTTTATAGAAAAAAAATCATGACTTGTGTAAGTTTTTAAAGAAGAAAGAAAGGAAGAAAAATGAAGAGAGAGGGAGAGAGAGGGGGGAGAGAGAGAGAGAGAGAGAGAGAGAGAGAGAGAGAGAGAGAGAGAGAGAGAAGAAGAAGAAGAAGAAGAAGAAGAAGAAGAAGAAGGAGGAGGAGGAGGAGGAGGAGGAGGAGGAGGAGGAGGAGGAGGAGGAGGAGGAGGAGGAGGGAGGGAGGAGGAGGAGGGAGGGAGGGGGAGAGGGAGGGAAGGAGGGAGGGAGGGAGGGAGAGAGGGAGAGAGGGTGGGAGGGAGGGAGAGAGGGAGGGAGGGAGAGAGGGAGGGAAGGAGGGAGGGAGGGAGGGAGGAAGGAAGGAAGGAAGGAAGGAAGGAAGGAAGGAAGGAAGGAAGGAAGGAAGGAAGGAAGGAAGGAAGGAAGGAAACTCACCAGAGCATTATGAACTGCACAAATAGAGACATTTTACCTAAAGATCTCAGAAAAGTGCTTTACTATCATTAACCCATTATGGCCCTTAGCTGTCTGGGAGGTATGTGGCATGTAAGGTCGCACCATTTTATAGATGAGAAACTGAGGCCTAAGGTCATAAGTGACTCATCAGTAACACCAAAAGGAAGCCTATTATATGTAGTGTTACCTTCTCTCATCCTATTCTACAATTAGGTAACTAAATGTGTGTTCTGAGAGGATTTACTTTATCCTCCTTCATTAACGGATAGTTCTATGAGAGTCTGCCACAGTAGAATGTGATCTGAATAGAATTCATAACTAGATTCTGGTTCAGTCTCCAATAGCAAAACCTTGGGCTAGTATCACCTTCTATAAATCAAATAGACACAAAGAGCAACTAAGACAAAGGATGTAAAAAAAATATTTTTTCAAGCCCCCTTCCTCCACATTATTATGCATTATGGAAAGTTGAGACAGACCCAGAATCCATCAGCTCATACATTTCTCTCTGCTGCTATATGGACTCACTTTCCAATGGCCTTGCCCATTCAGAACCACCTGCCTTTTTACATGCCATAGAAAACTTCAATGTAACAGAGGTGTGGCTAGCATGGCTCACACACTGAAGGAGAGGCCCATGCCACTCACCCACATGGGGTCATTCAGGTCCGAGTCCTGCATGCGAATACAGTCCATGCTAATCTCAATCTTGTTTGTTGCTCCATTTTCTGATGGTTCATCTACAAAGTTCAAGTCAATGGGCTGAACCGAACATATGGGTCTACCATAAAGAAAAAATAAACAAACAAACAAATATCGTGTGTTAGGAATTGAAAGGAACTAAAGCACACTACCCAGTTGGTAACCATGAGATCTCTCTGCTTCAAAATTGGCCTCAGTGGTTGGAGCCAGTAACCCTATGTTTGAATCCTGGCTAAACCACTTCCCAGGAAAATAATCACAGGCAGTTCAGATCTAAGCTCTGTTTGTAAAACAGGAATTATAAACCCTGTCCCCATCAAAAAATTGCTGGGTTGAACACAGGGGAAAACAAACGTATCAGGGACAGAATATTGTATTACTCTATCCCATAGGGTCCCTAGTGCTCTGATCTTTCAAGTTCTCTTTTACTTATTCATTTATCCAATCTAGATATTCAGAAAGGAAATAATAACCCTTCTAGCAAGGCATAATTGATCAACAAAATTTAGTGTTTTACTTTCTTGGGAGGTATTTGCATTATAAGAGAAATAAGAATGTTTAAGCTAAAGGAACAGACTTTGAATATCAGGGAGTTATTGGGAAAATTATTATGGGCAGGAGATCACTTCTGATCTTCCAAAACCACATCACCTTATAATAATAATGATCTTTCAGTGTTGAAAAATGAATGAATCTCCACTGCATTTTGAACACAGAGATACTACTGGAGAAATAATTTTTTCTAACAATATTAACTGATTTGTATTGGTTCCAGAAATATGTCCTACTAATGCAATATTTTGTTCATTTATATTTATTTGTACTAGTTCAAGGATAATATCCCATCTAATATGCAAATTGACTGTACCTCTGCTATGCCCACAAGCCATGCCCAACAGCTAATCAGAAGCAATTATGCAAATTAACCCAACAAAGATGGTGTTGGCCACAGAGCTGGAGCAAGGAAGAGGTTTGGATTGCCCCCAGTGATGAAGGAAGCCAAGCTTCCCAGCACTCTAGTCTGCCCTCCGCTCAAGGCTACAAAGTTTCAATTATAGAAGATAAATAAATCCCAGATACATACTTTTAGCCTATGCTTGGGTCACAGGGGGGTGTGGCTGGCCTGCAAATGAACACAAGCCCCTCACCCAGGCCATCCCATGCCCCATGGGAACCCTCATCCTGATTCTGGATACCCTTCAGGGCAAACCAGCCAGCCCCAACCCATGCACCTGGTCTCTATCCTATCTAATTAAAGACTAATATGCAAATTGACTGTCACTCAAACATACAAGATGGCTGCCCCCATGTGGTCAAAGATAGCTGCTCCCATGTGGACACAGGTGGCTGCCACAAGATGGCCAATAGGGGAGGGCAGTTGTTAGGGACCAGGCCTGCAAGGGATCAGTCGGGGGTGATCAAACCTGCAGAAAAGGACAGTTGGGTGGGGGTGGGGGTGGGGCTATCAGACCAGTAGGGGAGAGCAGTTAGGGGCAATGATGCTGGCAAGGGAGGCCAATTAGGGGTGACCAGGTCAGCAGAGGAGGACAGATGGATGGAATCAGGCCATCAGGGGAGGAAAGTTAGGGGAAATTGGGCTGGCAGGGGAGCAGTTAGGCATCAATCAGGCTGTCAGGGGAGTGATTAGGGGGTGATCAGGCTGGCAGGCAGAAGTGGTTAGGGGCAATCAGGAAGGCAGTCAGGCAAGCAGTTGGGAGCCAGCAGTGCTGGATTGTGAGAGGGATATCTGACTGCCTGTTTTGGGGTTGATCCCCCAGACTAGAGAGGGTGCAGGCTGGGCTGAGGGACACACACCCCCATTCGTGAATTTCATACACCGGGCCTTTAGTAGTGTGTGTGTATGTGTGTGTGTGTGTGTGTGTGTGTGTGTGTGTGTGTGTGTGTTGCTGTTGATTTGATACTTACTGTTCCAGAAAATCCCAGATATGCTGGAAAACCTCTGGACTGAGGAATTCACTTGTCTGTGTGCTCTGTGACATAGTGGATCGATAATAACTTTCTTTCCAAGAGAAATGAGCAGGGGTTTCTACAAACCTTAAAATGACAAAAAACTAGGATTATAGTTTCTGTCTTTATGAATACAAAATATTAAATTAAATAATACTTGATTAAGAGGAAAAGTCAAGTGAATATTTAAAATCATGCAGGTTTATAAGTTTTACAAGTTGCTCAACTGTGTTTCTTCAAGAAGTGTCACAGTTCTTAATTTGCAATAAAGTCAGACAATCATGACTTCTATCAAAACTCTTTTTAAAAAACAAAAACAAAAATCACTTTTCTTTAAAAAAAAAAGAAAGGGATAAAGAGAGAGAGACAGAAACATCAATGATAAGAGAATTGTTGATCAGCTGCCTCCGGCACACCTCACACTAGGGATCGAGTTTGGAACCCGGGCATGTGTCCTGACCAGGAATCAAACCATAACCTTTTGATTCATAGGTTGATGCTCAACCACTAACCCACGGTGGCCTGGCAAAGCTCTTCTTTTTAACTAAAAATATTTACACCTTCCACTTCTCCTATCCAACATCTATGTTCTGCATATTTCAAAAAAAAATAAACATTCCCTCATTAAGTTTGACAGCAAGACTGACCTATTATTACACCCATTTTATAAATGTCATAACTGATTATCTGTTCATTCAGCCTCCAGCAAGTGAAAAGTAGAATCAGAAAACCGAAACAAGTTCAGAAACTTAAATTTCACCCTCAGCATAATCACCCCTCTCATAACTACCATCTTAGCATCAGGCCCGAGGACAATAAACTCAAGTTTCTCGACCTGGACTTTTTTCTTAATCACTAGCTACCTACTTTGATGTGTGTGTGTGTGGGTGGTTTGTAATTGGAGTGTGGAATTCTAGTTAGTCTAAAAAATAAGTAAACATCGGAATATGTTATAAATGAATCCTATTTCTGTTTGCTTTATTTGGTTGCTGCATTCTCAAGTTTGCCTTTACGTTAAAAAAAATAAATAAATAACCTTGATCTCTATACTAGCTTATGTGAAGGAAAACATGAGATTTCTTCAGTGATGCTTTTCAAAATCTGTAAGTAAGTTATCTGCACAGATTATCTAGTATGTAGTTCATTGTCATTTTCAGTAGGAGAGGGCAGTTGGGAAGTATTATATCCCAGGATGGAATTAGCTAAGTTGTTAATCATTATTTTTATTGTTACAATGAATTAAATAGTACACTAGAATAGTCAATAATTTCAAAATTGCAAATGGATGTTCTAGCCTGGTTACATAATAGAAGATAACAAGATGTTAGGTTTGATCCCAGTAAGTGATTAGAACCCTTGATACTAACAGTGTTCTAATAGATGAATGAAATCACAAAATAAATTTCAGTGATTTGGGGAGTAAATAGGGGTAAAAACAAAATGTCCTTTTGATATAGTTGAATGAGAAGAACATTAATTATACTTAGAAAGGTAAAGCCGAAAGAAAGCAGCCAGTAAGGAGAGAGAGAAATTTAAGATATTTGAAAGAAAGGGAATGGCCCAGAAGATGGTCCTGAAAGGAGCAGAAAGAAAAGGGTTAAGAGAATAGGTTGAGATAATAGCCTTGAACTTAAGCTACAAGCCCTTCATGCAAGAATGAAATAAAGAGGACAACATTAAGAGTGGATATAAATGTGTTTACAAATATGGAGGTGAATATATGAATTAGCCAACCCCCTAAGTGCAAATAAACTCTCTATGAATTGTAATGTAAATGGAACCTACAAGCACACCCAAAGACCTAAACACTATGATTGGTAGCCTGACAACCATGTGAGCACTAGAATGTAAACACAGAACACAAAGTAGATTATCAGCAATAATGATACGCATAATGTGAGAATTAATACCAAAAAAAGGACAAGGTTTTAAGTTGGCAGAAATATATGCATAATTTCTAAAAAGATTGGTAGCTAATGTAACCTAGATTTAAATAACAAAGATTGTGACTGATTAAAAAACTAAAGGTTAGTGGAAAAAGACAAATTCTAAAGCAAAAGACTAAAATTATCATTGACTGTACAGTCATCAACTATTTCTATTTCTTTCACTATTTCCACATGGAAGTTTTTCTCTTTGCTAACTCTGGCATTCATTTGTTCTACATTTTCCCTCTAGTTTCTCTCGACTCCAAAAATAATAATAATAATAATAATAATAATAATAATAATAAAAATTCCTGCATTTTGGATAACATTACTAACCAGCTGGAAAACTTTGGACAAGCATGCCAACTCCAGGAAGTTTAGCTACTTTACTATGACCTCTGCTCTGTAGAACTCTCCTCCCCAAAAAGTATATCCTGGCACCTCATTAGAAATATGGTCTTTTTTTCCTTTAAACTCTCTGCATCTTTAGTTACATCTCATCAATTTTAGTTTATTCTATTTTGGTTGTATAACAACTGATGTATTGTAGAGGATTTTAACTAACTTCAGGACAAAGCTAACATATTTACATTTCTTGCTTGCAGTTTGATAGTTCCTTGAGGTTAGAGTAGAAGGAACATTGGTTTTAGAGTGAGACAGACATGGGTTCAAATTCTAGCTGTAATGTGAAGCCATGGTCCAATTACTTATTCTTTTTGTACATTAGTCTTTTTCTTTTTTTATTTTTTTTTCAATTTTAGAGAGAGATAAAGGAAAATGGATATACAGAAAGAAATATAGATGAGAAATATCATCATTTGACTGCCTCCTGCATGCACCTACTGGCAATCACGCCAACAACTTGGGCATGTGCTCTGACAGGGAATTGAACCAGTGACCTCTTTGTTCATGGGTCAATGCTCAACCACTGAGCTACACTGTCTGGGCTACATTAGTCTTTTTCAACTATGCTTTCTTTGTAATGTGGTTGAGAAGTTTATTTGAAATAATGTGCCTGGTAGTCAATACATTGGTCCTATTTACATTCATTACTACATAATTTGTATCCAGAAAATACTATTGAACCAATTAAATAGTATATCTGAAAGGTCAATTAAAGATGTAAACATGTCACAGAGATAAAGTAATTATATTAAACCTGAATTGGCCTTCATTTCTCTCAAGTTCAGATCATTCTTTCTAATCTATGTTCTTGGACCAAAACAATACTCCTATCATCTCTTATTTTTTTTTCTAGACCATCTAGAATTCACCCTATCAATGGGGTTTTATTATGAAAGGTGGAATTGGGATTTGGTACAGATCCACAATTTTCATATTGTGTTTCATGAAACCATAAAGTTTCTATTGCTATTTTATTCACCAGATGTGGCAATATTGATAGACTCCAGACACCTTCCTTCTTAACACCATGAAGTTTGGTTTTTGCTTGTTTTAGGGTTCTGAGCTAGATTTCATTTGAGAAAGGGTTTTGTTAAAAAGGAAAAAAAAAAATCAATGATCTAGGTTAGGGGATCTTCCAAGTCTCTTCTTTGCAAACTCAGTTTCTATTCCCATTTTCTGAATAAATATTTAAAACATCATTAGAAGAAAGGGAGGAAAGCTGTGCTACAGGGCAGGAAGAGTGAGATAAATCCTACTGACCTTCCCAGGATTTGCCTTTGGATGAATCTCAGTATCAATTTACTCAGAGTACAATCGCTCTGTTCACATTGTTTTGTCAAACCAGTCATACCCAATATAATAGAAAGCCTGAAGTCAATTATTCAGCTTATTTTTCCAGAGTAACTATCCAACATTATTTGTATTAACTCAGAAAAGAAAAAAAAATAAAACGAAAACTATTCTTTGTAGAAATGATCTGAAAGCAGAAAGGGTTATCTGCTAACAGTTTGAATCCCCTCTTCCTTTTCCTGCTCTGCCCTAAAAGTCATCACTCAAGTTTCTTACAGGTAAGTTCTTTCAGCACTCCTGAAAAATCTCCAAATCTCTAAAATTTCAGAATTCAAAAAACCTTAGTTTTGTAGTTGGATTTTAGAACTAATAGATCTCAGAGATCATTCAACTTAGTTTTCCTTATTTAAGAGATGAAAATGCTGAAATGTAAAAACAACTGGTTCACTCTAGCTATACTGTCTTCAACATAGATCTTTATTCATAGTCCAATATGAATAGATTTACATATTAGACACTAATTCTCATTATGAATTACCCAACTTGTGGTCTCTTATAGCAGTTTTTAGACTTGTCATTTTCTGGATATTTAAAGGCTCCTTACTTCCAATTAGAATATACAAACTTAAAGTTATTAAGCTAAAAATATACTTAATTCTATAAAAAACTCCCTAATACACTTAATAAAATAAAACAGCAGTTATTAGTGATGTAGACCAGAAGCTCATTGGCTGCTTTTAGATTTAATTATTCAAAGACCCATCTTGACAGTGTCAGTTGTTCTGCTAGAGAGAGAATATGTCACCAGATCTCCATGAGAGCAGACCTGGTGGGGCCCCTCAGCAACCATGCTCACAGTTGGAAGAAGGGCTCACACATGAGTCTAAACCTGAGGACCCTAAAGAATGTCAGTTGGCTGTGCCTTTAGAGTATGCCTAGTCTTGTTCCCTTATTTCATAGGAAAAAGAGTCCCAGACCTGAAAAATTTACCCTAGATCTATTGTTGTGCTGAGTATTGGATAATGAAAGCAGACTAAAATTTTCTGGAATTTTCCAATCCATTAGTTAAACATAATCATTATTATAATTTATTATTATACAATATTAAACTTTTATATTCAAAAGAGGAAATAAATACTTCAAAATGATCACTTCCTAGTTATTTTTTTATTATCTGTTTTTGAAAGCCATTTAAAAATAGAGTAAAATTGGTCAGATTAAAATATATTAAACTGCCAAAACTGTTTTGGCTCAGTGGATAGAGCATCGGCCTGCGGACTGAAAGATCCCAGGTTTGATTCTGGTAAAGGGCATGTACCTTGGTTGTGGGCACCTCCCCTGTGGGGGGTGTGCAAGAGGCAGCTGGTCGATGTTTCTCTCTCATTGATGTTTCTAACTCTATTCCTCTCTGTAAAAAATCAATAAAATATATTTAAATATATATATATATATATATATATATAT